CACAAAAACTACGTTACAGGTGTCACCAGTTGCAGTATATTAAAACATTTTCAGACCTGAAGCAAATTACCATTTGAGGACCTATGCACTCATAATTTTTATTTACATTTTTTTAATAGTAGAAATATTATAATTAAAAACTTCTCATTGCACTCGATCCATTGATCGATACCTATCTACCTACCTACCTACCTACCTACCTATCCGCTCATTTTTGTCTGAAGGCAATTGTTTAAAAAAAGCCTAATTCGGCATTCCACTGGTTGATAATATCGATATAATTCAAAACTATTTAAATAAGGTTAGCCTGTGGTCGAAAAGGTGGAAAATCAAAATAACATTGCGACATTGGTCATAAATTAACTATAAAGTTATAAATAATTTATAAATAAATATTAATGTTTATCATTAAAAAATTTTCTTGAAAGTAGAACAAAAGACGCAGATCTGAAATCAGGAAAATTCCCTCTAATTTGAGACGTTTTGTCACACTATAATTATGCCCTAAAAATTTAAAAAACTATAAAATCAAAATCAGCAAGCAAAATTTAATGGAATGGTTTTTAATAGTATACACGCATACGTAGAAGTTAACCATCTGATTGAGTATGTATTTCTATTTTTCTTTAAAAAAATAATGATTTGTTTCTAAGGAATTAATTTGTTATAGTTTTATAAAATTTAATGCCTAACAATAATTCTATTTAACAGAAACTAACATAGTAAATAATAATGTTAAAAATATTTTAAAAAAACGCGGAACATTTTCAATATCACACCCCTCATTCGAGAATCATTTCATATTTATATAACAACAATAGATAAACACACGCTTTGACAAACATGATAACAAGCGAGTAACTATTCAAAGAGTTTCATTAGTATTAGTTTGTATTCATTTTAACTTGGTTAAGTCATAATTTTTGATATTTTTTAAAGTATAAGTATTTATCAAGAAGTTTTTAATATTGATTGAAATATACTTAACTTGTGTGTCATGCTGATTGATTTTTAATAAGTAACAGGTATTATTAACAGGTAGTATTTATTACAATTATACTTGTATTTCACAAAAAGACATTCCTATATACTAGTTTTGTGAAATATATTGCTAATATTATCATGACTACTCTACTGGATCGTTTGCAAGAACACTTAGTAAAGAAACGACAAGGGTTGAATGATGTACACGAAACTCTTAAAAAAATTACTGGTCGTGATACTTTTGATGATCATTTAAACCACGGTAAATTTAATAAACGACCACAGGTCGGTGGAGATCAAAAACCACAATTCAGAGAGTCAATAAAAAAAGACGTTAAGCGATTACGAGATAACAATAAGCTTTCCTTTAGAAATGATAATCAGAATCGTAAAGTTTTTGTCAACCCTAATGAAGCATCAAAAATTTTTAAAAATGGAAATAATTCAGGTAGAATATCAGCTAAAGATCGATTAGGGACAATCGTTGCAGATGAACATGAAAAACCTATTAAGGAAGAGTTTGAAGATGACGAAGATATGGAGGAAGATTCTACACCTAAAAAAACTCTTCAATCTCAAGTCATGTTGTCATCTAAAATTATGAAATCTCGCACTGAAGTATTGGCTGCTCAACAAGGTGATCAAGTGACCAAAGAACGAAATCGACGTATGTTTGGATCATTATTAGGTACTTTACAAAGATTTAAGAAAGAAGAAACTCAATTAAAAGATAAAGAAGAAAAAAAAGCTAAAATTGAAAGAAGACTTGAAGAAGAAGCATTGAAAGAGAAAGAATCATTAGTTCTTAGAAAACGAGAATTATTCATGCAAAGAAAACAGCAGCAGAGAGATATAAAAAATATAGAGATTAAAATGGGATTGGTAAGAAATTTTGAAATCTTTGAGCGCCAAATAAATTGTACAATGAATTTCATTAAAACTGAATTTGATCCTTCGGTGTTTTACTTGCCAAAAATACATAATGAAAAGACTGAAAAAAAATTAAGCAAGACGCGCTCATATTTGAGCAATATCTTAGGAAAGAAAAGGAATATGGTTGAAAGTCAAATTGAGAAGTTATTACAATCTGATGATGAACAAATGGAGTTTGATGACAGAGTGGAAGATGGAGAAGTAAGAGTAGCCGATGAAGAAGAAGATGCTGATGTAGATGTTTATGAAAGGCATCAAGATAATGGAAATTTTAACTATGATTAAAAGTAATTTTTAATGACAAGTACAATGAACTCAATATTTTGTATATTTTATTATAAAGATTGTTTTAGTACCTTCAACATTGTTTTTAATAATTAATACAAACTTGGTTTGAGGTCATTTATTTGTAAACTAAATTTTTTTTAAATACATTTATTTATTTTGGTATTTGAATATTTTATAAAAACATGGAAATTACATGCCATTTTAGTTTCTTGTATTTAAAAATAATATTATGTAATCCATCATAAGTGTTAGTTAGTCATTCATTGAGTTTGTCTTGATATGTATACCTTAATTTAAAGGTCATAATTTCTGTATTAAATTAATTTTATTTATAATATTAAATTAAATCGTTACTTCTGCGACCTTTTAACTAAATGTTATTATTTTAGGTATATTCTTAAAACTAGATTTAAATGCTTGTTGTTCAAATTGGTCACATAACAAAAATATTTTGATTTTTAAACAATAAAAATGGAATTATTGTAGTAACGCTACAATATATGTTATTAAATGCATTATTTATACACATAGAAAATGTAGAGTATTTATAATTGTTCTCTATTAATCATATTATACTGAAATAATAATTACCAACTATTTAGATAATAAACATATATTAATAACATCAAATCAGAGAAGAGTGCATGTTACAAAATAGCACATCTACTACATATTGTCCTAGTTTTGTCCTAGAAAATAACTAATGAGTGATTTGTATTTAATTTCTACCAACCAAAACTACTTAAAATTAAATTTTATTTATGAAAATATTTTGTTTTGTTTCATACTTTCATTATTTAAGAGAAGAAAATATATTAATGCAGATTTGCAGCTTATTATATTAAATCACACTGAGTGAGTGGTTAAATATAATATATACATGATTATTCAAAATGATTCATTCAATTTAAATGATAATATATTTCTAGTTTTTAGGTTTAGATTAACATATTATACGTTTCGTATAAATAAGATGTAAAAGTAATGTAAACCTTATTTACAAATAATAAATTCCTATTAATCAGTATTAATTAAATCAATGTCTAATTATATGTACATACAGAATTTATATTTTATATACCTAATTTATATATTATAGGTATAAGTAATATGAATTTGTATTCTATATCTTGCAAAATAAGTTTATTTGATTGCCAAGGTCTTATTATTTAAAACCAGGTGCTAAGTTTACTAATCTTTTTAACCAGTATAATTTAAAAGTTATTCTATAAAAAGTTAACAAATTTAATTTTTAAAAAGTAACAAAATTAAGTTACACACTTTTAGTTAAAAATTAACTAAGCTAAGTTATAAGTTATTTATCTTAAATAACTTACACTCATATTTTGTACTGACTGGAAAACAGTTAAGATTTGGAATATATTAAAAAATAAGCGCTAAACAGCTTATTAAAAAAAAATCAACCAACTAATGTATAATACATTTTGTATTGGAAAAATTTAAAAGAAAAATAGAATTAATAAATGACTAGAAACATTTATTACATTTTAATAACAAAGTTTTTTTGAAATGATCATTAGGTGTTGTTTGTATCTTCTTGTAGACCGTAGATACTTTACGTAGTTAACCTCTAGCATTTTGTGGTAGCTGATAGGTACCAATAATTTTGATATTGTATTTTATTAATAATTTTTAAAGGTAATTTATAATAGTTTCAAAGTATTTAATATACAATTTGTTTATAATTTTCTATGAAAAACTATTTAGAATCAGCTTCAATTATAGCAAAGTAAGCAAAATTAAAGACATTTATAGCTAAGTGTTAATCATTAGAGATTTAATAGTTAGTAAAATTAAAAGTAAGCGAACTTTTTAACGATGGTTACAATTCCGCCAATAGTTCAATAGTTTAGAATACCTACTAAAATATTATTTTTTTGGTGTAGGTATTCATGAATGTTGTATAAGTCACGATTAGTTTGTTACAAACAATTATTGTAAACTAAGTAGACAATGTTTTTCATTGTCAATTATGTAACGAGTCACATCACATGTTGCAGCGTTGGAATAATATTCTAATTTTTATAGAATAGGGCTAATAACGAAACATCCAATAAATTAAATCTGTACATTCGGTTATGTATCCTTAATAAAAGTCTCAAAAATGTTTATAAAATCGGTAAAGAAAATAATTTTTAAATTTCCAAGTGCGTATGTTTAAACGATTTTGAACTGCTGAAGTATAAGACATAGGTACCTAAGTTGGTTCTTATTTTCTATCTTTCGTATTTTGTATAAATATTACTGTTTTCATTTTAGTTATACAGAAATGAAGACTTGTAAGTATAAAATATTGTAATTTTTATTTTGACTACAACCATAGACATAATAGTGTATAATGCAGATTGATCTATCATTTTTCGTAGTACTGTAATTAGTGTAAATGTATACTGAAAGGTACGAAAGAAATTTAAATTTTAAATTCATCTGAAAGCTGAAAGCGCGGATTAGAATAGAATATTTGAAGTAGCCAAGTAGTAAATATTAAATAGGTTTTGGGGCGCACAAGCCAATGAGGCTTATGAATAAAAAATATTAATTTGGTTTCTTTCTCAGTTTCTCATTTTATCCACCTTAATTCTCAATTCATCATTCAGTCTCATTTCTTGGTTTTGGTCTTTTGGACAAAGATAAATTTTTTATATATATATTATATATTATATATTATTTTGTTGGGCGGACAAGATCGAATTGTTATCAATTATTATTGAGGATAAAAGGATAAAACCATATGTTTGTTTGATATTATCAGTCGAAAATTAACTTATGATAAGGGCGTTCTCTCTTTCACGCTCGAGTGTCAACTATAAAGTTACTATAATACTGTCTAAATTGGAAACATTTTGTGTTAACGATTTTGAATATTATTGTACCGAAATAATTAATCATATTATTAAAAATGGCAATGCATTCTGCAGTTAAGGGTAAACTATTAGCTGTGATCGGAGACGAAGTAAGTATGTTTAAGAAAGTAATTACTAATTACTGTATACAATAAACATTCAGGAGACCCGCCCTTTTCGGTTGATGAATGTACATATATTTTTTGATTTTCTTGCAGTAAATTATGTTCTGTCTCGTATTTACGTTACTTTTATTTTGTTCTAGGATACGTGCGTTGGTTTCTTGTTAGGTGGTATCGGCGAAATAAACAAACACAGACACTCAAATTTCATGGTTGTTGACAAAAGTAATATTTGTATTGAAATGCAATGAAACCAATTTAAATGTATTTTTGTTGTTATTTAGATACAGCAATAATTGATATTGAAGAATGTTTCAAAGGATTTGTCAAACGGGATGACATTGACATAATACTTATCAACCAAAATGTAAGTAATAGTAGTAATGTTTTCACATTTGATATGAAAAATATTTTGCTTAAACAATTAACAGGTTGCTGAAATGATTCGTCATGTAATTGAAGGACACACACAACCAATTCCAGCTGTCCTGGAAATTCCTTCCAAGGATCACCCATATGACGCTAGTAAAGATTCAATTTTGCGTCGTGCTAAAGTGAGTACCATGTCTGATTTTTTTGTTTTTATATTGGATGTCTAATTGATTTGTTTGATTTTAGGGAATGTTTAATCCAGAGGATGTATGATAAATTCATTTACCAAATTGTTTTATCATTTGTTTTTATTGTTAGATTGGTCACTTTTATTTTAACATTCCATTTCAAATTATTTATTATATATTCATATATCCAGAAAAATGTTTATTAAAAATATTATATTATTTACTAAGACAAACAATAGTTCTTATTAAAATAAGTTAACTGAAGTGTCCTATATAATAATATGTATGTTTCGTATTCTACAATGAAATTATTAAATAAAGATGTTATTATATTGAAAAAAATTAAGATGTGGAAAATTACGGCTAATATTCATCAATCATAAATACCAAATTACCAATATGGTAAACAATTTTTTTTTTAAATCCTTTGTTACTAAGTAAAAAAATTATCAATAATAAAAAAAGTAAGCATAATGCTGATATATTTATTTTGTATAAAAATAAATTAAAATTAAAATGTTGGATGATGTATATTTTTTGATATTTATGCATTACCATTCATTAATAGAATTACCTTTCATCCAGTTACCAGAATAGTCTTACTAGTCATCAACATTTTTATTAAAATAATGTTATTGAAAGTAGGTATAAAAATATAGCCAATATAGGTTATGGTAAAATTAGGTATGTATTTGTCACTTTACATCAGAGCATATTTTAAGAATATTTTACTAGATGACACTATCACTATAAGCCATTAAGACTAGGCCAAATACCTACCTCTTACGTTTTCGACTTGTGAGTTTGTGACATGAATACAAGGCACATTTTTAATCTCAAAGCGGCAATCATTCTTCACTAGGTGGCACTCATGTCACTTACTTTATGAGTTAAAATATGCTCTGCTTTTCATGTATGTATTTTTATTGGCTAAAACAAAATTAATTTACAAGAACATTACATTCTTAAATACCTAGGTGTAATGTAATATTTATATTATAATTGTACAAAATAAAAAATATGAAAATTCTTTAAAAAACTATATTTTTGATTTGCTTCTATTAAACTAAATTTTTTAAATAAACCTTTATTGAAATATTCAAATTAATTTTTTTGCTTTCTATTCTGGAAAATTGTCAATAATATTGTCAAAACTTAGGATTGCTAAGTAAAAACATATAGTTACAAATACAACTAATTTTGTTTTTCTGTGGTTGGCGTGTTCTTCTTTCAAATGGACCTAGTAGAAATGTCTGCTCTATGTAAGAATGTATCTCATAAGTCATAATTATGACTGTGTATATAAATGTATCAGTACTTTTAGCAATAAAATAATAAGTTTCATGTAATTATAGACCATAATTATTATAAGCTATGAATAAATCACATATATTGAAATATTCTGTTATATTCTCCAACTAAATTATTCAAATATCTTGTGTTTTGATAATTTCAAAAGATTAACCCAACTTGGTGACCTACATAAATTTCATGATATGTTTTTTCACTTATGTAACTACATATTAGTTATTTTACTTTTAGTATTATGTTGGTTTGATTAAATTTTTTCTGAAAACATTGCATTTATAATATTATTAGTAGGTATTTAATTATAATAATATATAATTTTACCATTTATTATAAATTTTTGAAAATACCTTTAAAACAGTAAAAATGTATATCTCAAAATAAATCAATAATATCATTGCCTGTAGTAGCATTTATAATACACATAAACGTTTTAAATTTTCAAAAATATTTTTAAATTATATCAAAATAATTAATATTATTATTTATAGTTTAAACAATAATCAAATTTAAACTTAGAAATGTCTATATATTTTAAATTTTATGGTTTCGGGATAAATTACTTAGAGAAATATTGAACTAAATTTTCAAAATTTAAATAAGAAGATTTTATGAATACATAGGTAACTAAAAATAGTTTCCAAATTTCTTATAATTGTATAGAATGTCATCAAAATTGTAGCTTTAAATGTTTTTAAAAAAAAATTATGCCTAAATTTTAAATATTTTTATATCAATGTAAGTAGCAATTTGTGTCAAATCTTATATTTATTTTTCAAGAATTTTAACCAAGTGAATAATTTTTTTATCAACATTTATGGAAAAATTAACTTCAAACAATTCAAAGTTTATCATGTTTTTACATACCTAACTAAAAAAATAGTTAATTTTCTTTAAAATTTTATCACATAATAATAATAATGATAAAATAAATATTTAATGAAATTTTCATATATTTACGGTTATTTATTCAATTTTAATCTTTTCCAGTTATAAAAAAAAGTACTGTGAATTTTGACTTTTCTGAAGTACAAATTTAGTCAAATAAAATTATATTTTTATATATGTATATATATATATATGTTAAATACGAAAAAAAAACAACTACCAAATTGAATAATCACGCATAAAAATTAACCATAAGATACTTCTTTTAGTGATGTTATGGATTTTGCAAGTTTTGATTAATTTGAAATCAGTTTCTTGGCAATAACTTTTAGGATAATTTAAATAATTTATCATAAAATGTAAATATAATATATTAATATGTGAATTCCGTCTATCACAATGAACTCAGATTTTTATGTATTGACATAATTTATTATTATATGGATAAACAGCTAGCCTTGGAAAAATACTTAAGTGACTAAAATTTATATTGCTAAAAGGGAGAGGGTCTACTAGGGTATTAATAACATTAATTTATCAAGATTGATGAAAAAATAAGGTTTTTTTTATTAAAAGTAATATCACAAAGGTTTATATTATAAATAATATTTATAGTATTTGATTGTCATTTCGTTTTATCTGTGTCTGTATATGACAGGAAGTACAAAATTTTTGATAATTCTTTAAAAATAAAATGATATAATTTAACCTACTTAAAGGCTAAATTTAATCTTGTTAAGTTCAAACTACCTACACAATGAATGGCTAACTCACCAGATATTGTATTGCGGTTCAAGCATTCTCTTTTAAGCTCTCAATGCAAAATGGGCTCTTCATATTTGATTACATTACAATTAATTATTTATACATATTTAGTATATGGTGGACCTATAGATGACGTTCAAGAACTGAAACCATGTCCAAAAATCAAACCTTTTAATAAGGTCAACATTGATCAGGTAAAAAACAAAAATTTGGATATTTAAAAAAATTGTAATTTTACAATGAAATAATTTGCAAAATTAATTTTAGTTATTGGGAAAATGGTTTTTGGCTATAATGGTGATAGAATCAGAACATGAAGAGTTTGTTGAAGACGGAGTTTGTATTCATGGTGAACTTTTGCGATATAATAAAACCACTCTGAGACAAGTATGGAACATTGATAATCCATTATTAATCGGTGATCACAGTGCTGTAATTGAATTGCCAACAATAGAAAACGAAGCAGGAATTTGGTCAATACAAAGTCCACTAGGAGGTGCAATATATACTAACATATGTTACAATATTTTAAAATATATACCATTCATTATTAATGTCCATAATATATATTTTTGTAAAGGAGAAATAACAGCAACTACCATTGATGCAGATCCAGATACACATTTGATATTGGCGTTTTGTGGTAAAAAAGGATCAAACTCATTACATATGTGGACCGTAGTTGTAACACGTCAAAATGGAATTTCAGCACCAGAAACTTTAAGGTTGTCAGCCATTTTAGTTAAACATGGTTATAATCCAATGGCAAGTAAAATTATAAGCTGGAAAAATTGTCCAATTTATACCATGGTACCTTAAAAATGTGAAGTTATATTTTGTATAATATCAAACAATAAAATAAATAAATAAAAATACAGAATTATACAATTTTTTTAATTTTTTTTTATTTTTTTTTTAAACTGAAAATCGTCAATTGTATTACAATAGCTTAAATACGAGAAGGATACAACATCTGAAACAAAAACAAATAAATAATTGTTAGAATATGGAAATAAATATATATATTTTTAAATTAAGGATTTGTTTAACTTGATTTAAAAAAATTTAATAATTATACTTGTGGTGCTCATAAAAAAACAAATTAAATTAGTTTGTTGTCATAATTTAACATGGAGACATGAGATATCACATTTATATTTATTATTTTTTAAAGTTGTGTCTAAATTTATCATGGAGATATAAGATTATTTAGATAAGTTCCAGTAGTAACATGAAATATAATTTGTTCAAGAGAACTTCATACTAGAATCGGCTTAGAATCATTTCATTTAGATCAATATATATAGCCCATAACAGAATTTTATATCTGCTAAAATATATTTAGAAAACAATTCAAGATATGATTGTAATAAAATTGCTTACAATCCTGACACGATGACCCATTGCTTTAGCTGGAAGGTTGGTCTTAAATTTTGCTCGCACAGATCCAGTGGCACCATGGGGACGGGTCACTTTACCCCAAATAGCACGGACCTTAGACTTCTTCTTTGGACGTCCAGGAACTGACACTAATCGCTTAGCCTAAGAACAGAAATTAAATTTCAATTATTTTTCTAAATGGGTACTCTCTAATTTTTATAAGCACATTAAAAAAAAAATTACTTATGTATTAATTTATCACAATAAAAATAACAAAAAAATGCTTTAAATAGGTATAATTACAATCCTTTCTTGGTATTTAGTTAACAATCATTACATATTTGAGATAAGACATGATTACATAAAATAAATTTAATTAGAATTATTTGATATTATTATTAATATCAGATACTAATTTGTAAATTTAGAACATAGAATCATATAAATGTAAAATGGTCTTTTTGAATAAAGGGGTTCTAGATACAATCACTGAGATTTTTGTATGTTATTATCATGAAATTGTACTTAGTATGAAAAATTAAAACTAATACATACCCTGTAGACATAAGCAACACGTTTTCCAACGTAAAACCAAGAGTCAGCCTTGGAATCACATCCGTCAACTTTGAGTAGAGCGGTGTTTTCGTGTTGATTGCGGAGTCCTCGACGGAAACCTGTGAACACTGCACGAGAGTACAAACGTCCGTAGGGCCTCTTCTGGCGCCTTTTCTGTTTGACTACTTTTTTATCTTTGTCGGCAGATTCGACGACTTTTTCAGTTTTGACCTTTGAGGCCGATTTACTGGCTTTTTTTGCGGAGGCCTCCGGCATCTACAACAAGCGTAACAATACATGGTTTTGTATTTTTATCCGATTCGATCCTTCGATTTAGTAAACGTTTCACGATTAATCTTATAATAATGGCTATAGCAGAGGGTAATGATTTGTTTTTAAAAAATAAATGTGAATTCTAAACGAAAATACGTACCTTTAAAGAGCGCAGAAACGTTGGTGAAAACCTATTTGTTCGACGAAGACGGCGAACAGCAAAAACTAGAAAGAGGAATTATCGCACAGTAAACAAATGTACTATAACCTGAAAACGAATCGTGTCTCTGCTGGTAGAGTGGTAGAGGGGATTGTAATATCGTATGTATGCAAGCGTCATGGAGGAATGAAATTCCAAGTGATAAGAGGCGTTCAATCGAGGGTGTTTAAATATTTGGTAATCTGTCTGATCAAAATGACTAAAATGAGTAAATTTAAAAACTGCCACCTAATTATTCAAGATATTTTATCTATATATATTCTGTAATTTTGTATAGATCTTACTGTCCGTGAAATTTAATAAATTGTATAAATCTAGTCTGCGGCCCGAGAGATCGTGAAAAATTAAAATTAAAAGAAAAGTCTGGGTTCACGGCACACAGTGGGAGAAATTAAAGTTTTACTGCGTCAAAAATATTAAAAAATATATCAAAATGCTGATAAAATCTTAGTTAATATTTATTTATTATTATCTACTAGTCTTAAAATAGATGCTTATTTCATGTTTTATACGTTCATATCAATACTATTAGAAACCAAAGTAACGGTAATTTAGAATAATCATCATTACGTAGCTATTTTCTTCAAATTACGCACGTTCAATATAAATACTTGTTTTAAATATTATAAAATATTAAATTGTTAAGTTTTTTGAGTTTATACATTTCATATAAAAGGTATGTAATAGTAAATAATAATTTATTTAACCATTCAATCAAAAATTAAATGTTAAAACTGTAATTTTAAAATACCAAAAAAAAGAATTTATTTTTTAATTAAATGTATTTTTTTTTAAAAAGCGTATTTAGCGCTTTGATTTTTATCACATAGCTTAAGTTAACTTGTTATTTAGTCAATTTTAAAATATGATCTGCCCAAAGTTGCCCATCTAAAATATTATATGGTTATTTTTATAGATAATATTTCATACCGTGATGTATTCAATGCGCTGAGAGGTCGGGAACGATAGTTAAACCCGTGCTCCATCAATAGTCGTTCATTATTATGCGATTATATTAAACATCCTATTGATGAAATTATGAAGCCACATTGAGTGCCAAAATTTTAGCGTTTACTACTACATTAAATCGTAAATGGTTATTAGCTGTTAATCGTACTTCAAATACATTTATTTTTAAATACGAGGGTTGGTTAGATACTAAATTTGATTTGCTAAAAAATGAAAGAAAAACGGCTGATATTCGTGGTCGTCCATCAAAGTCATTTTCACATTTATCTGAAAGAGTTAAAATTCGAAAAGTTAAACCACTAGTGGAAACAATTATCATCAGATAGATTACTTCGGGCAACAAGAGTATAATTTTTTAAAGAATGTAAACATACAGCAGCCGATTTATTAAGAGTCAACTAAATACTCTTTAAGTCGTCCTGCAAAAATTAGGAAAACTTTTCGTAAATCATTAGAAAAAAATAATAAAATACCATAAACGGTAGACAAGTACTAGCTCATAATATGGTTAATTCAGTTAATTGCCGCGGCATAGTTATAGATAATACTATCTTAAATTGTGGTGATTATCTTTGGAAATACCTCCAGAAAGTTTTTCCTCCAGAGGTGGTATCCCCATTCCCCGGCAGACAAGTGCCCGCACGCACCAATTATTGTCGGTGTTGTGTAACTGTGTAAGTACAAAGTTGTGTTAACACGACAAAATGGTGGACCAGCCCGTCTTGTCGGTTCGCCTGTGATAATTGTCTCGTTGATCGTCGTAGGTGAATCGGTTAAGTTGATACTCGATAGAAAATTGAGAAAAGCTACTGTTGGATTAAGAACGCAAGTGCTGATCTCCATCCGCCAAACGCGCCTGAAAACACTAAACGCGCACTCACGAATCACGATTTTGGTTCGGTGACATTAGAAAACGATCACCGTGGATTCTTTTTATGCACACACGTTATTTCCATGAAATCTCCTATGTCCGATTGGTGAGTGTAACCGACCACGATGATATTGTCGCTATCGCTGTAATTGTGTACTTTCCAATCTAGCGGTGGTCGTTAAAATATCACGCTATCCGCCCCTTTGGATACCACTTACAAGTTTGTGTGAAAACAGACTTCGGCTTAATTCTGTGTCGATGCTGGGCTATTGGTACTTGGTAGTGTTTTGTCTTACAAACTGGGTCTGCGGTTGATATTGTATTTGATTTTCATTAGTGAATTACACTTCTATTCTCATTTTATGAATGTATGCAATTAAAGAGTTAAATTAACTGTAATAGAACATGACATAGGCCAATAGGTTTATAAATTAATACATCTTGCTAAGAATTAAATCTTAAAGAAGCAATTGCAATCAATTATTAAATTATTATTGGTTTTTAGATAATAGATACCTGTTGAGAAGATTTTTAGTTTGATATAATCTAAATTCATGGTTCCTTAATTAAACTTACAAGCTTGTTTATACTAGTTTTGTTTCATTATTATTGGCTAATATATTGTGATTTTTATTTATTTTAGGGTTAAGAAAAATGACAGTTTTATCGTCAGCAGAGACAGCTGAACAGCCACCACGTAAAAAGTTGTGTTTATCAGCATCCAGGCAACTACAATCTAAATCCTATGCACTCTCTCAACTTAACCCGATGGCATCACCTCTTGATCAGCCTGGTAACTGAAGTTTACAATTTTTCCAATCAAGTTTTGTTAATTTAAAATTATTAGTTCTTAATTGCAAAAAATTGATATTTCCTATTTCAAAATTGTTCGCGGTTAAATAATTTATCTTAGTTGTAAATAATTGCTGTTTATTATTATACTTTTCATTAGTGATTAGTGAATCTATAATTTTTGATTATGGAACCAGACTTCGAAAATCATGTTATGTGGTTTTTATTAGGTTACAGTTTTCTAATGTTCACTGTTCCTTTTATTGGATTTTTTTCTATGAAATATTTTCTTGGTCAAATTTTAAATATCCAAGGATATAGAGTTATCGTTATATCCGTTATTTTTGCTGTTATTATTGTACAATTGATTATTTATAGTTATGTAAAACAAGCATTTAATGAACCTGTCGATACAGTTGATGATACTAATGGTCACGGAGATGATGAAAAAGAGGTTAACAATGAAAAAAAGGATCAATAGTTTTTTATAATTTTTTATCATAACTTATTATTTTCAGCGTTCTTTTATTTTAGTGATAATAAACAAGTTGTAAAATGTTAGCATATAGATTTTAAGCATTCCTTATAAACTTTATTATTATAATCTAATAAACTTACTTTATTATTTACATTCCAATATTATTTATTATTATTAATAATTTATAATCGTGTTATCTATCTATAAACAAATTTATCTTATAATTTTATTGATTGGCTGGCAAATATTTTAATTTTAAATGAATAAATATATATATTTTTAACCCCATTTAGTATTTTTTTTTATTTTATACACATTCTGTTAAAAAAATATTTGATAGAAAAAATCCTATACATAAAACTATTAAAGAAAATCTTAATACCTACTTATATATTATACATAAATCATATAATTTACTTAAATATTTGTCAAAATAGGTAATTGAAATTGTCTATACATTTTATGTAATATGGTTTAATAACAATAAACAGTTAATATAAAATGCAATATAGTTTTTGAGTTAAATATATGTATTGAAGTATAATGATACATATTTACATAATGAAAGTTATTTACATAACTACAATACATAACTATTTTATTACTTTAAAAAGTTAAAGGTGTCCTATTATTTTTTTGTATTAGCTTTACATTTTTTAAGTTATTTAATAATCATTCAAAATTTATTGGAATTTAATTTTAATATATAACATTTAAGTGTTATATATGAAATGTGATATTAGAAGAAAGGTTGGATGATATGATAATTAACTTTAATTTGGTGATATGTTTTAAATATTTATAAAACTTTTCATTCGGTGTTGATAATTTGTATTTATACTATTTTTAATGATATCTAAATTATTGTACTATTTTTAGCTGATATTTTCTATGTTGGTACTGACATTATAAAACTTGATTTGATGTATTACATATTTTAATTTGAGGGTTAATATAATATTTAAACTTAGCAAAAATTCAAAATACTTTACCTGTATAAGGTTCTTAAATAATAACCGTTTGTATTAAGTAATTAGTTCACATTAATTTAATACTTTTATTGAAATTACATATAATGAAATGTTAAATTTCATTCTATTACAGACAATTTATATTATTTTAATTTTCTTTAAAGTTATCCGGCATATCAAGCAACAGCAACAACTACAGCAGCAGCAAATAAACTGTTCTTGTGACAATGAAAGCAATGGATCGCCTGGTGTTGCAACTTTATGCAATCTTGGTAACACCTGTTTTTTAAATAGTGTTTTATACACTTTGAGATTTGCACCTTCATTTTTGCACAATCTTCATCACTTAATTACTGAGTTACAAGAGATCACAGGGCGGTCTACAAATGGACTCAAGGTACCACACTCAACCAAATATGTTAATGATTATATTTTGGTAGAATTTTATTTGCTCATCTCTTTTTATTTTATTTTTTCATAGGGAAAATGCTCTTCTCTGGGTAGAAGTACAAGTTCGGTCAACAGTAAAATGTGGAATTTTCAATCATCATTCAATGTTAGTATGAATGATCTAAAAATTATACAAGTTACTGAACGTCTTCATCAAGTATTCGAAGCATTACATAATTGTGAGCTCAAAGATAGCTCAGATCCATATCAACCTGAAGTATTTTTGCAATCTTTAAGGTAATAATAAATTACAATTTTTTTTATAAATATTATAAATTTTAATATAATTTTAATGTTCTGTTAATAGAGACGTCAATCCAATTTTTGAAGGAAATCAACAACATGATGCTCACGAACTACTTGTCTGTTTGTTAGATAATATTCGAGAAGGATGTAAATTAGTCATGCAGCATTCTGCTCAAGTGAATTGTTTTGTTGCACCTGCTCCAGTCATTCAACCTGTTGCACCTAACAAATTGAAAAAATTTTCTGGACAAGTACGAAAGTCTTTAAAAATTGCATCCAGTAGTAAAACACGACCAGTCAATGGCATTCTTCCACCTAATGTTAATGTTACTAGTGATAAAGTGATTTTACCCGAAAATGACAATTTTGCTGGTACAAAAGTTTTTCATAAATCATAAAAAAATTTAAAGAATTTACTACTTATATAATTTTTTTAGATGACAAACAAATGTATGTAGTTAATGGAACTACAAATGCTGTCCAATCTGATGAAAATGAAAGCATTCCTAGTGGCAGCAGTAGTAGTAATAGTAGTAGTACATCAATGTTTGATGATTTTCAAGGGGTATCCTTACTTCGCACAACATGTTTAGAATGTGAATTTGTTACAGAACGGAAAGAGAGTTTTTGTGATATCTGTGTTCCTATAAATGGTTTAACTAATGGAGACATATCACCTGAAAACGAATTCAACCCATATGGTTTGTTCTTTATTTCCATGTTTATTTCATCCTTATTAATTATGTATAAATTCTAGATTATGACAGTGTTAATAAATTGTATCATTCAGCAATAGTGACTGAAGAATATTTACAAGACACTGACAAATATTGGTGTGAACAGTGTTGTCGATATAATGAAGCTAAACGAAGTGTTGGATATGAAAGTTTACCTCGATTACTGACATTACATTTAAAAAGATTTTGCACCAACTATAGGTATAGATTAATGTTTATTCATTTGCTCATAAATTAGCAGCAAATCTATTTGTAAAAATATCAACTAATAAATTCATTTTTAGAGCTGTTGTGTCAAAAGTGAATGAACACATGCCAACTCCTCTAACATTGGAATGTTTTTGTGAAGAGTGTTTATCTCTCAATTCACAACAACAAACCCGAGCACATAGTTACCAGCTGTATGCCATAATAATGCATTTGGGTGCTACAATAGCTTCTGGACATTATGTTGCATATGTTAAGGCTCAGGACAATCTTGATGAGTATATCAACTGTTCTCGTGATCGACGCAAGACTGGAAGTCTTTCCGTCACACCTAATGGTACTTTACCAGCAAATTACAAAAAATCATCAATATCAAATGGTCTTTTTCGATTTCTTAAAATATCTTCAAAAACTTCTTCTGGAGCTCCTAATAGTCAATCAAGTGATTCAATTGATGATTCAGGAAAAGTTTCTTCGATAGGACGATGGTGCCGTAGTCTAGAATGCTGTGGAGTTAGAATATTAGATAACTCAGAAGGTGGAGATAGCGTATGGTTAGAGTGTGATGATGAAACAGTAAGAACTATGTCTGTTGCACAATTAACACAAATTTTAGAATCCAAATCATCCAAGAACTCAGCATTAACTCCATATTTATTATTTTACGTTAAAGTGAACCACAGTGAATAATTGAATTATTAACATTCATATTATTACAAATTATGGTAATGTTTATTTGGCGACAAATTATAAATCAGAACTTCAAGTGTTGGCACTCTTACCAAAGACTAATATTTAAGCGCACTTTGCAACTTTTAGTATTTTAAAGTTAACTATACCAGGATATTTAAAACTTTTATTTTTAAAATTATACAATTGCATAATATCAATCTCCACCATTACACGAAATATCCAATATCTAATTTAAATTAAATTAATACACGATTATCATAAATATTAAACTATACTTTTCAACTACAAGCAATAATTTAAAAATATTTTATTAAATTTTATTTTAAGACATATTGATGATTTATGACTGTATTATATATTATTTAGCTGTACAGTTGGGATTCTATTAATATTTGTTATTCAAAGTGATTGTATTATTGAAGCAATAAAAAGTATTTTAAAACTTGGAATAAAGTTGAAAACTAAAATTAAAAATAATTTTGATAAATGTTAGACATATTATTTATTAAATATTTAATATATTATGACAATTACTAGAGTATACTTAATAGTATTAACATTCATCATCCAATGAGTGTATATATCATTATTCAAATTATTTGTGTGCCAAATTCTAAAATACTTTTTGTTCTTTTTAAGTATTAAAAGAAAATAACGGCTGTGGTTAATTTTGATGCGAATAAATTAGATATTTTGTGTTGATTTCACCTTAAAATCATTTAGATTGAAGGAAATTATAAGGTTTCACAAACAATTCATTTTAAAAACTGAACTTGATAAAACTGTCCTTAACTCTTATTTATATTATTTACATGTTATAACACAGTTATTTAATCAGCTATATGGTATTCTTTAATGAATTGTAGTAGACACTAAGATAGCTGATAGGTACATATATATATATGAAAGTTTCATTATTAGTAATAATCACTTATACTCCAGTATAATTTTTAAGCTATGAATTATGAAAATTTTAAAATTAAATTTATGCTTATCTTAATAATAAATCACGGCTATAATATACTATATAGTATGATATTGTGATGATAATTATTATAGAATTCAATTTTTATATCTTCCATTAGTCCTACAATTTGTATAAGCTTGACATATGGCTTTATTTAAAAATAATTTTTTTATTAGTCATTTATAAGACAACAAATTTGATAAGTATTGGATTATATTATGTTAAACGTTTATTTTGCGTTAATTTAATTGAATTCTATAGAGTGGTAGATTATTTTTAAAGTTTTTAATTATTGATGTGAAGCCTTATGATTAATAATTTGCTTTTTATAAATGTGATATGTTTGTTACTATAGACTGTTAGATTCCAATTAAGCGTTACTAATTTCCACAAAACTAAATTTAAATTTAAGTTTTATTACTGCACAACGCCTATAATTAAAGAAATAAAAATATAACGTATTATAATGAAAAATAATTTTTGAATACAAATAACTTAAATTGTAAAAACTGGGTGAATAGAGATCAGAGTTCTTTGAATTCAAAATTGATTACCTTATTTCTGTTTTAACATATTGTAATAATCATAATTATATGTATAAAAAAAATGTGTTTATCATTTTTCTTTGAAGGTAGGTATAATGATAAGTTAGAATACTTTATATTTCAAAATAAAATATAAAGTTGTATTAAAATAATGTAAATATTAATTATGTCATACATTTTTAAAAATGTCATAGTATCTTAAAAAAAAATGTGTCCTCACTCCTCAATGTTATAATTGGTACCTATTTACATATTTTCCATTAAAATAAAAAACATCGTATAACAGAACTCATAATTTTTTGTGTCTTCCTTAAATATAATTGGCTCAAGTGATTTATGTTTCCTTGTTTCAAGTCTCATTTCTATGTACCTATGCTTGTATTATAAAATATATTTATTTTAATTTTAATATAACTGATTGTGTATCTATATTTATTTTTATGGTTGCATATTGTTATGGCTTAATATTGTGATTAATACAAAACTATTTCTGTTTACCTATGTGCAGTGTTGTGTTTTTATTTATTTTTTTGTTATAATTATATAAAATATATGTTGTATTTAAAAAATCTTTGAATACTGAGTCATTTAAAAAATAATTATATGTATTTTTCAGATTTAGTATCAAAATTTGTAGCATCCAAACTTTATGTCTATGTGTAACTAATAAGGAATACTTATATACTGTGGGTGGTTTGGTTAGTATTAGAAACATTTTATAATTTTAAACAAATCAATATTGCTATATTAACATCAAGATTATAATACAAAATTTATAAAATAAAAAAAAAGTATGTAAAATTAAAATGGTTTTACCAATCTAATGTGCCTTCTAAGAATTCGAAAGGTACACTGTCTTCAATCACTGAGTCGATATGCTTTTTTTGCAATGTTTTTTTATTGGTGGCTACCATAGCTTTATGACAGTGTTGTGCCAAAAGTCCAACAAATTGTTCCTGAAGAATGAATGACCAATGTAATTTATTAACTAATTATTAATAACAAATTTATAAGCGTTTATACTGCAGCTTACCGTCGCCTTAGTGAGAAGGAATACTGCATCACTAGCTACTATATTGACGTCTGGGTCCATCTTCATGATAAGCTTCACACGTCCGGGAGGTAATCCTTTATGGATATCTTTCGTCTTGGCATTTGAGGAATCTTCTTTCTGTGATTCAGTCGACTGGTTGGGATCAGCTTCCACCGGCAAGTCGTCGGCCGTGCCGTCATTTTCATCAGAATCATCGGTGTGATACTCGAAAGTGTCAACAGGTAGTTCGTCGATATTACTGTTTGTCATCTCGCTAGTATTTTCTATGACAGGTGGTCTACGGTCGTCTTCATGTATTTCTTCTAATATTTCAGTCAAGACGTCGTCGTCGCCTTTGTTTTCGGGAAAAGCCAGATTTACCGACATTGGTTCGCTATCAAATAAATTCGGTGAGTCGTTTTCCATTGTTTTTATGTGTTCCGGAAAATTGTGTTATAAAACGAAACTCTAATCGTCATACAACGACTAATAACGCACGAAAACGTTTATTGATATATCACGATAATGTCACTATACCCGTGAATGAAGATCGTTGAAGATTTCGTGTTGTCAAAAACTTTTGAATCTCGAAATCATTGAGACTTTAAGAGTTATTATCGTGTTTAAAGATAACACATTTTTAGCGGGTAAAATTATAACCTCAATAATATCCAATTGTCTGAAAAAATATACGTGCACAAAGAGTTGTCAGACGGAAGATGGCACGGCGATTTTTATTGATTTGGTTAAGTAGGCGCACCTATTTCATACTAAATTTATTTACCTGTTATTTGTGATCGAAGAATGCATTTTATTACAATTCGACTTTTATGCCAGAAGAATGTATGTTATATTCTCGACATGGTAATTGGTAAGTATTGTTAAAATATGCTCTATTTACATATGATTTATAAAATTATTAATAAGTCAGGTGTCAAAAGACCACGATGTAGATAGAATAGTAATATAAAATAAATACCTAGTAGATTTTATTTATATTGTACTACCACAGAAAAATTAAATTAAATTAAAAAAAAAAATCATTTGTTCTGTGATGTTACTCAGGTAATGAAAAATAAAATGTGTAATAACAATTAAAAACATCTACTTCATATTCGATAAATTATAAAACCAATTATAATATTTTAAAGCAAAATGAACCATAAACAGTTTGTAAACAACAAGAATATCTAAACCAAGTTGAATTAATTCATATAATATTTTGATTTATGAACATTTAATTTGACTTATTCGTACTTCAAGGACTGAAAATAATGATGTAAAAGTTCTATGTACATATAAATATGTAGGAAATTTGCAAAACTTCACACGATGTCAAAAATGTTATGTTTCAATTCGCGTGGATATAATATATGTAATATAAAATGTATATTATAATATTATAATATATTGCGTTAGAAACATATCTATGTTACGTTTGCAATACATTTTGATCGATGACAATGCGATAAATACACTCATTTACGCGGGAATCTGTCAACTAACAAAACGTTGTATCGATTTGTGTCATGTATAATAATCATAGATTTAATAGTTTATTATAGTTATTATGTTTATAATAATAATAATCTATAATCTTTCACAAAACTATCAATATTCTATTGACATTTTGGGCACGAAACGCGATCGAATAACGCGCGTTCCATGTCTGTTTTTTTACCCGCCAAATATAAATAACGTGTACACGATATCATAATATGTTTTAATTTTTATACTACATCTTTGGCTTGTATATTTTATTATGATATAATATTATCATACTGCTTCAACATGTTGATTTTACGATTATACAGTACAAAACCTTTTTCGCGATTCCGTTCATCGACAACGATGGTGGGTGGGTTGGTGTTAAATAATATTATGCAGTACCTATTGGCTATTAGGCTATAAAATAAAGTATTATATCGTATTGTAGTAGGTACCTGCAGTATGTTTTGTAAACAAATAGTATTTATTTTATAGTGCGTGCATGCACATAATATAATCGTCCTATATTATGCAAATCGGTGGTACTTAGAAGAAAAATACGAGAGAAATTAGTTGTGGCGAGCAGTATCTAATTGTGTTTATCTATTTTTTATTATGGTCATTCTTATTTTAATTACATACCGACGCTAGAACTATCCTCCCTTATTTTACATTTTATGTCGCTTCGTTATTGTAATATTGCAGTTATAATGATAATAATTAGCAGAATAAGGATGCTGTGTGTATATTAGCCACTCAACGTTTAACAGTGCGACATTACGTAAATTGTTTATTGCTCCGCGTCGTCGACTCGTGTCCGTTTTCACCTCGAGGCGCGTTTGCCCGATTACAAACGCATATTATAATAATATAATGTTTAAACGTACCTACTAAATTATACACGTACGTCACTTCATACAATATATCGTTCGCTAAATTTCCATTGTAAAACGCCTCGTGGTTTTATGTTATTATAAGTATAATATTCATCATTCATACATAGGTATTAGGTAGGTAGTAGGTATCTATAATATCCACGATGTAGTGATATATCCATGTATATATTGTGTTCGATCGTATATTTTGTATTAGGAGTACTTTACGCAATATTATTATTATGTTGTCCTAATGATTCAGAAAAATATAACGCGATAGTCGCAGCTGTTTATGTAGCGTTTTAATGATTTTAATAATTTTTTTTTCAATTTTTTTTTTACCAAAGATTAGTAAAATATTGCATTTACGCGTGAATTATAAGTATTTATATATATTTTAGTCTGATCGTTTTCAGTTTGTATCAAGTCATTTAGAGTATAACTTATTAATTACTACTACGGTCGATAAATATTTCTAAGGTCATTTAAATGATGTCGTGTTATTATATTATCGTTGTATACATTAGTACGTATATCTATTAAAAAACATGATATATATTTTATTAGGTCATCTATCATCTTAATATGGCCAACTAAAAATAATTATATCATTATTTAAAAAATAGTTTTATTGTACAGTAATGCGTACTATTAGAAAAAAATCCTTTACATATTTTGACATTAGTTTTTTATTTAAATTATGTAATAAACAAAATTACCCATGATAATTTAGTTAATAAGATAAAGTGGAATTAATTATGTTTAATTAAAATAATATTACCTTCGTGTAATTAATTTCATTATGGTAACGAGACATTTTAATATTATTTAATTAAGAAGACCTTTCAAGCAGGGGCGTCATTTCAGGTTTTTTGGGTGTGCAAGGTTTCAAGTAGGGCATTTTTAAATTTCACTAGGCCATATAAAAATTGATATACGTATATGTACATAATCTTGCTTTCAATTATTTCCATTCATCGTATATACCGAATTATTGCATCAATATAAAAAAAAAAAGTCAATTTAAAAACTAAAATATAATAAATATTTAATATTAGAATAATTGACAGTATACCAATATTGATAAATGTAAAAAATAAAAATACCATTTAAGATGATTTAATTTTGAACATTATCTCAGCAGGGCGCATGCCAATGAGTACTACTTTAAAGTAAAGGGTGCAACCGCTAAACCGCACACACTGATCTTCCCCTAATGGCGCCCCTGCATTAGAAGAGATACTAGAAAATAATGAGGATAAACAATAGTAAAAATATACAATTTTATTTTTTTACGGCCCACAGTCACCTGTTGATTTAAGGTGTTTAAATTTATTTGAAACAAGCCATTATGCTTAGTGGAATGTCGCTCTACCTTTTAATGCACTTATTTATTAATTTTCAAAAAATGTACAACAAAAGGCTACGAAAAATTGTTTTTTGTTTTTTTTTTTTAATGAAAACCACATTTGATGCGAAATCTAGGTGAAGGAATAAGTTTTGAATTTCCAAACTTCATATTCGTCATTAGAGTTTCAAGATAAATAATATTTAATTTTTCGAAATCCTAGAAGCTCATATTGTCATATAGCTATTTTATTTTATTTTATTATAATTAGTAATTACACATTATACTTAAAACATTTGTATATTATAAATTTACCAAGTTTAATATTTTAATTTATCTAAAGAAAATGAAAACATTTTTTTTTCAAAATCATATTCTTTGTATTTTTCGTAGGTACTACATCAATTATTTATTGATTATAATTAATTAATCCAAAGTTATTGTATTACACTTAAACAATTCAATTTTAATTAAGTTACATTACGGGTTAATCACGATAATTATATATTTTGGGTATATTATTATTATAAAAATGAGTGGTACTTAAAATATTGACAAAAATCGACAGTTAAGTATATTTTTAAATAGTTAGAAATTATTACGGACACATACCCTTTTTGTAATAGATATTATCTACATAATATAGTTTGTGGCTATGATCAGGAATGGACTGACACATTAATTCGTTTCAAGTAAACATAGTACATACATTGTACAGATCTTTTGAATACATTTGTATTAAAAAATATTATGAACGATATTAACTCTGTTCGGTTTAACAATAAAAAATAATACATCCTAGTATGATTTAATACGAATAATACGTATATATTATTTATACTATAAAATATAATCATCATGATTTTTATTGTCCTTACAAGTTTCTAATTATATATTTAATGTGTATTTGCCTATGAGTATGTATGCACATTTATTTTAATAAAAGTTGCAGAATCTATGTAAAAAGTTCAACATATTAAATATAACAATGATTTTTTTTTATAATAATAAATTATATCAACTATGTAGAATTATAGGGTATTATCTTCCTGACTACTGACTATTCGAAGTTTTCGATCCATACAATATATTATCTTATTTACCTACCTAAATGAATTGTAATATGTATTTAGAGCAAAATTTCAAACGAATATTTTGGTTATGCTGAGTAATATCGTTTTTTCATACCTACCTACTTACTAAAACCGTACATAATTCATAATTCGTTCGTAACTCGTCAAGTTGTTATTGATTTTGAATATGTATATTTTAATGGTTAATTGCCCTTGAGATATGCAATCAAACATTGATACTTTGATAGCCTATTATATATTATTACCAACAGAGTCACTGAGTAACAAACTTATGAAATAATCAAACAATATGGATTTAAAAGGTATTTGAACACTTATTATTTAGGTGAATTTTTTTAAAGAAATTGTTGATTGATCTGAATTACTTCGTGAAACTAGAAATACATTATACAAGTTATGATGGAGTACCTACATTTATCTTTGTTATTGTAGTCGTTTATATTTTTTAGATCTCAAGTGAAAGAGGTTTTTCAATGTCGTGTATTTTTTTTTTAATTAAAAAGAGCAGAACTTTTGAGCAAAGACTATAGTATATTATATAGCTTAGATACAGGTTTTTTCAAGTATAAAGAAACTCACCTCAATAGTGTCCATACCGAAAATCCTGTATTATAATTTTTT